TGGGTTCGGTATTATTACAGGTGTTGAGGGGGTTTGTCAATACAAGGGTGTTTTCCGGTTTAGGGAGTGAGGCCTGGAGACCAGAAGTGTTGATTTAATCTCCTCCCACTCCAGGAGGGAGATTTTCAACTTCAATAACATACATCTTGTGTGCTGATTTCCGGAGGGGGGAGGGAGAGGGAGAAGATATCTCAGCTTATTGGGAACAATCTCCATTACTTTCCCTTTCATTACTTTGCCAATTATGTTATTTGGTTGCTCTTTTTTATGCAAGAAATTCCGGGGCAAATTTGTAATGGACTGGTTCATGCATTTGAGAGAGTATGGTAGCGAGTTGATAGTCCTTCTTCTGACCAGTGAATCGGGCTATTGCTTCTATGCATGGAAAGCTATGCTATCATTGCATGGGTAAAATTAAACACTTTTTAACCTCATCTGTCCCTGCCTTCCACTAATTGCCTCTTGTCTTTTTCGCTTTTGGACATCCACCCATATAATATGGATACTGCCACGCCAATTGCGGTTCAAAGCCCTCGGGTTTAATAGGTTCTGTCTACTGGTATGATACTGCCTCTCCTTTTTGTGATGCGGATAGTTGGCTGTTTTTCCACCCACGAGTGATCTGGTATGACTGCTATTGAGGTATGGTAGTGGACGCCAAAAACGTGGACCAGTTGTAACCGCAACTGGGGTTCAGTCCGTTCGGTTCAAGGATTTGTTTTATGTTTTGTTTTACTTGTGGTTTCGAGTATCCTTTGATACTCAGTTTGTTTTACTTGTGGTTTCGAGTATCCTTTGATACTTAGTTTGTTTTACTTGTGGTTTCGAGTATCCTTTGATACTCAGTTTGTTTTACTTGTGGTTTCAAGTATCCTTTGATACTCAGTTTGTTTTACTTGTGGTTTCGAGTATCCTTTGATACTCAGTTTGTTTTACTTGTGGTTTCGAGTATCCTTTGATACTCAGTTTGTTTTATGGGTTGCCCACGGAGGATTTGGAAATCCGTCCATGCAGGACATGGACGAAGCTTGTATTTAAAGACTGCTGAGTCTCTTAGAGGAACAGCAGACTTCGACGGACAGAGTATTTCTAATATACTTGGTTGAACGGTTACCTCTTCAAGTCCCTATTCTTTATATCTTCCTCTTGGAGCCTCCCTTAGCGCAGTACACCCACCGGTTATAGATCAACTTGTGCGCTACTCCTATTGTACCCGGAAGCGTGATTAGCACCCCAGTGCGAACACGTTACACCAGTGGAGATTCAAAATGTAATGCCTGATATAAATAGGGTCTAGGGTACTTAATTACAAATTGGAAATTCCTATATCACATGTTCAAGTCCAAGTGCTGGTAAGGTTTTTCTTTGATCAAGATATTTTTCTTTCTTATTCTGCAGGTAATTCCAGAGGCAGGCTATAAGGTAATCCTTTATCCAGCCTTTCACTGCAAAATTAATTTCATAGAGTATCATTGGGGGGCTGCAAAGCAGTATACTTGTGAGTACTACAGGTATGATTTTGGGTCGCTGAGATGATTGATTCCAGAAGCTCTAAATAGTGTCCTAGAAACATTGATGTGAAAATATTGGGTACACACAGAGCAAATTATAGATGCATATCAATCTAGGATTAGCTATGCCTCCCCAGAGTATGAGAAGATTGTGGACAGAAGATATAGCTATCATAATTGTATAAATAATTTCATCTAAATTCCAAATAGACAATGAAAAATAGAATTCTTTCTCTTACTTAGTTTCTATCATCTACATTCAGGAATAAATAAATTTATAACTTGAATGATAAATAGTGATTAGAGTTGAACCTGCAACCTAAGAGTTTCAAATTTCAACTTAAAAACCCTATACCCTGCTTATATCAGGCATTACATTTTGAATCTCCACTAGTCCACATTTTTGACGTCTGCCACCATACTGTACTATGCTTCCCAGGATTTTGTTCACCAACTCCATTGTGGGGAACTTATTTGTGCAAATATCTATAGCTCATGCAAAGGACTGGTTTTTATTTATTTCTTTCTCTCTTTTTGTGGGTATTTCATGCCCGAACTATTGGATAATACACAAGAGCCTAGGGAAACACTAAAGTCAGGAACACACAATTGGTTTTCAACTCCAGGAATCTCATCCAACTTCAACTTGCAGCCTTTCCTCTTGGATACAGGTCATCGAGAGCCCTTCAAAAAAAAAAAACGTGGCGCAGAAAGCGTCAGAACTGCTAGATTAGGCGATGACGTCTACGATTTCAGCTCTTGGAAAGAAAGCAACTTCCCCCCCCCTTTAGCGCAGGAGTAGTCGATGAGGACATCGAGTTCCAGGGTGGCGATTGCTGCTAGAACCTTAGCTGTGGGATCTAGTGGCGCGGGCTGACCGTGTCTACCATGGGGGTGAATTGGTTCTTGAGATCCCAGAGTTTCAAAATGGAGTATTGGAGATAATTACTGAGCTCCATGTATTGTGCTATTATATCATACTATGGGGACCTGGGGGTGAGAAAGACTCATCTGGGGTGGTAATGCCGCATTTGTGAAAAAATAAAGCACCTATTACTGACGCTAGTCCTCTAACGATCAGCAACACAGGAGTAGAGGACATTACGGGTACAAAGCTAAATTGCCCTTTCTTGTGCTAGTTCAGAACAACCAATACCAAACGCGCTGGGCACCAACCTCAAACGACTGGTCTCTAGAGGGGAGCCCTGAGTATGCACGGGGGGATTTGAAAGCCGAAAAAAGAGTTCCGCAATGGATGCCTACGACACCCGGGGCAGGTCGCATGTCACGCGCAGGTATTGAATCGCTACCTCAAGCCTTTACATGTATTAATGCTCTGCAAGAAGTGCTCACGAAGCATCCGGCGGAGCTTCTTGAGTCACCGCGAGCTATGGTTAATGAGCCATGAATATGAGGAATATTCCTTATAGGGAGAGCTTAAGTGTAGGGCAAAATTGAGGGATATTTCGTTGGGGGGGCTATGGTTATGTCAGTCCTACGAGGATGGCATAGAGAGAGGTTCGTAGAAGAGGTTTGGTAGAGGCACAGATCCTAGTGCGATGAGCGATTACTTGGGGATGGAGATTATGAGACTAATACCGATGATCTCCTAAATGTATGTCGCACATCGAGTACTTTCCCATGTCAAGTGTGGGTTATTTCTCTGAGAATGGAGCATAGATTCTTTACTGCTTCTCTTAACATTGAGGCAATTCTACAAGATCTGACCGCCTACCAGAGAAAAAATAAAGATTCCCGGGCTGAGAAAGGGGAAGGCCCTAGGAGATGTGCACAAGTCAAGCCTCCACCAAGGAAGGCACTGAAGGGAAGCAGGCTCAGACTCGGCATGGAGGCCCAGATGTAGGTATCACATTCAGACCAGCCCCCAAAACCGACCTAGTTATGCCACCCCCGATAGTAGAAAGCGAATCTAGAGACACAGACCCTCAAGGTACTCTTGCAGTAAAAACATTGCTAGGGTGTTGCCTCGGCCTCGACGTAGTTGGGGCGTCTTCGTCTACCATTCGGCCGGTTCACTTTACTCTCCAGGAGCACCTGTCCGACAACCCTGTTCTGCTCCATAGTCCCAGCCCTAGGATTTCCCAGAATTTCCATGACCTAAATTATTATTCAACTTTCAGAGTATGATATCATGGGCCATTAGCGTACCTCTTGTTATCATATCCCCAGAAACAACTCCGTTACTCGAATATGCTTCTTGCCACTAGGGAGCACATGTCAGAAGGGAAGTTACTGAAGGTATGGTTTTATTGGCACGGTTACATTTTGGTGGCTATTGTGAACATATAGCCTCTAAGCTGCTCTCCCCACTCGAGGAAACCTTGTCTCTGCTTCCCATGTGGAAAATCCCCTGTCTCGGCTGAATTGAATCACTATTGTTAGTGCAAGAGTTCTTCCTTTTTTCTACTCCTCGTCTTATCTAAGACCCAGCACTCCCAGCGAGCATCTCCTTTCCCCGTTATTCCTCCATGGTACATCTTTCACCTACCGGAAAAGCCAGCTACTGGGACCACCTCTCATGTTGGTATGTTCATCGAGGGCTGAAATCTTCCGGCATATGATATGTAAACAATCGTGGCTCTTAAGATCATTCCACATCAGTGGCCGGATGTAAGACATCTCCCTACAAAATAAAACGTATACACTTATACTCTGCCGTAACCACATTGCACCTCATATAATCTCGGTACCTACCAGCCCCTCCTTTAGTCCAGTTAACTTTCTCCCTATATTTCCTCCTTCTTCAGTTTTCCGGTGTCCTTAATCCCTCGTTTACCAATTGCCTTTTGATTATTATGACATGGAAGAAGCTAGCTAAGTACAGCGCTATCGGAGGAATAAACAGAACCCTGGCCGATATGGATATAAACAGTGACTAGGATCCCGCAGGTTGGGACTACGATGGCTTACAGAGAACCATCAATTCTTCTTCCCTTGCCCTGTTTCCTGTCTGCTATCGTTTGTATTTATTATATTTCTTCCAACGTGCTATATCTCCCCCTAAATATCACACCTGTTACGAATACTCTGACTACTGCATGGCAGAGGGTATACCCCCCCCCCCGCCAATGATGTGGAAGCGAGAATCGCTGAATAAGATTTTATGTATCACACCATAGATTCCCTATTTCTTCTTTTACCACGATAGCCCATCCACAATATATCACTCTCCAGTTACTATTCTCCCAATTTCCACCCCCCCCCCCTACATACGATAGATCTCCGCAGCACAAGTTGAATCCTTCAATTAGAGACTTTCAATGCCAGAAACTCAACAAAACAAACTACCTTATTAGATATGGCTTAGGATTCACTCTACAAACAACCGCCTAAGCGTGCCCTCAATAACGCATGGTTCATCACAAAAATGGGAGACCAACCTCAAATACCTCCCACAGTCTGGCGCATCGTGCGATCAGCAGTAGGTTTCTGCGCTAAAAATCTAGTGGGGCATGTTTGTCAGGCGAAGGTTCTGCAGCCCGTCCGTTGGACAATTTAGATAACTAGAGACCCTGCTGACCCAAACGCTTATTCCAACCTCCTCTTCCCCGCCTCCCTTCCGAACTCGTGCCTCGCAGTGCCCTACTGAATCTCCCCGGTAGTTTCAAGAAGCTAGGTTGTCACCCCTCCGGCCAACCGCGTCCGATAGGTTTACGGCAGCATATGGTGTGGGCAAACGCTGGTTAACTATCAACCATGTATGAGCGATCGCGAATATAATATTATATGTAAACCTGTTCTGAAAGGTATACCCATTGATTTTTGGGGGTGCCGGCAGGGACGGGACCCGACGGACACAAAACGAGACCCCGAGGCAAGCTAACCTTCTCTCCTGCGGACTCAGGGTGTTTGTCTGGGGTTTTCATGGCTGCTACATCATCATTGGGTTTCGGCTTCACCCGCTGTGGAGTGTTAGGAAGTTATTCGATTGCGTAGGGTGGTGGAACACGAGCTGTTCTCCGGGAGGCATGAGTATGTTTTGGCTGTTCAAGCATCAGGATAATGCGGGTTTAGTAGGAGTAATTCTGCTGGCTCAAAGTTTGGCTAAAAGTCACTTATACAACACCACTATCATGCCGATAGCACGGATTAAGTTTTCCCCTAGAACACAATATCTCCCGTCCCAGAGGTAACCACAAGCAACCCACCATGGATACAGCGGAAGCGGCCCCCTACCCGTCACCGGCTAATACTCCCTCATTCACTTACTCACCCTTCCTTCCCCAGAACCGCCCTGTCCTCCGCCGTCAGAACCACTCCGTCACACCAATCACACCACCGCCTGAAATCCCCTGTCTTCTCCAACTTCAAGGAGAGCTGGAGAACTCCTCCCTCTACCACCATACACCCAATTTCTGCGCCACTGCCTCCATCACTATCACCACTGCGCCCTACATTACCCTCCCGTTTCCTAAACAAACACTGGCTTCTCCCACCAGCCAACTTCATCGTGGTGTGAGGCCCCGGCCCTGGCGGGGGATACCTCCCCAAGCACCCACGACACAGCCATGCATCGGCACAATCACACACCTTGTCAAACACCTGTGGCGAGCACACACTATGGTTCGAACACAAACGGTTTAATCGTGAAAATAATAACCCTGGGCCCGGTCTTCGTGCGCAATTCTACGTCACTCTCTCATTAATACTATTGCCGTTATAGAGCGGAGGGAAAGGAGGACCATACGCGGCAAACAGGTTTTAGACACCTCCTACATTCATTCACCAAGTCTTTGACACATCTGTGAACTTGCCCGCCAGAGTTCTTGCATACTAGCGATCTGGAGGTTAGGTTTTTGCGTTGCGGGAGGAGGAGGGATCTGAAGGGGTGGCAGGTGCTGCTTAGACTTGCGAGGTCGTTGAGGTCCAAGTGTTTTGTGAGGGACATTAAGAGCGGGTATGATGACATGAGGGCTGTAAACGGGTGAGTTGTGTTGGGGCTTGGCCGGGGCCTCGTTGCGACCACTCCGGGGTGAGGAGTGTCCCAGTGCAGGGTTCGTGTTGGCTGGCGGTCGAGGTCATCGTGGGGGTTATCGTGAGGTGGGGGTTTTGAGGAGTCGAGGTTTAGGAATAATACCATTCTTGCTCTGGTCCAGTCCGTGCGTTGGCTCACTGAGAGGTTGGGCTTACGGAGGTATGATGGTCTATCGGGTAACTCACTGCACAACAACAGTGAGGTGGGACGGGGGGCTGGGTTAGGGTTGTTTATTTTCGCCGCCACAGGACCCGCACAGTATGATACAGTGTTTTGCTCTGCTCTTCAACTGTTTATTGCGGCACGTAGCTGCACCCAAAGAACCCCTCACCACCTTCATCCTCACGCAAGCACCACCTCCTAAAACATAATGTCGGAAACAAATAGGGAAGAATTGCTTGCACGGCATCGGAAGGAGATTCGAGAGTTAACAGCGCGGATAACACGGAAGAAGAAAAACGCCACAAAAAAGACACGTCGGGGGATTAATTCAGAATGCGATTCGCTAGAGCACGAATTGAGAGAACGGCAATCCCGCGAGATCGCCGCTTTAGGCAATCCTGATGGTGAATCTACAGAGGCTCCAGAAATTCTGGAAAGCAAACCGCAAGGACCGGAGGGGGAAGAGAATACGAAAGGACTGGAGGAAAAATCAAATACAATAACTAATACCGCAACAAATATCACCGCCTCCGAAGACACCCCGCAACAATCTCCAGCCGGCCCAAAAAAGCCCAATCGCCAGAAAGCCAGATTAGCCCGTCGCGCGGCCGAAGCTGCAGCTTTAGGCGCGGCGGCCGAAGCCGAAGCGAGTGCTCGCCCAGATCACCGACAGGCTGAGATGTCAGCGATGCAAGCCCTCCTCACAAATCTACATTTAAGCGAGAAAGAGATCGCCCCTGATGGACACTGCCTCTACTCTGCGTTTGCGGACCAGATTCCAACGCCCTCGGACCACAGGGCCACAAGAGAGAAATGTGCAGAGTACATGCTCGCACACCGGGACGAGTTCGAGCCCTTCCTTGAGGAGCCAATTGAGGAGCATGTCCGGAAGGTTAGAGAGACGGCGGAGTGGGGGGGTCAGGTGGAAGTTTTGGCCCTAGCGAAGGCTTTCGGGGTTACCGTTAATGTTGTGCAGGCGGAGGGACGCGGGGTTGAGAAGATGAACGAAGGGGGGACCGAGGGGGAGGTCTGGCTGGGATATTATAGGCATAGTTTTGGACTCGGGGAGCACTACAACTCTTTGAGGAAGCCTAAGGCTGAAGGAAGGCCATGAAGGTCCAAATTATGCTTGGTTGCAGCGTTTACCACGCACAAACGGATAGATATTCATTTTTTATATAATAACAATAACACTGCTTCATTCTCCCGATATGACCGCACAAGCAAACGCTACCCCACCCGCCTGTTCGTGCATTGCTTCCGATACCTAATCCCAATATCCCCACCGCCGAAACCCAACTCACGACCCCCGATACGTACTGTATGCATAAGGACTCAACAACAGGGGAATGTGATAATGCTGATTTATCTCCTTAACCGTAAACACCACCTCAACATACGGAAAGAAGGTTTCCCCCTTGAAATGCTCCCAAGTCTCGAACCTAATCTTGTAGGTGAATCCCTCTTCGAGCACCAACTTCCCCGCGACTCCCTTCTGCCTCATCTCCCACGCTGCGACCCTCCCATCCTCGTTGGTCGACGCCTTCGCCACTTCAAAGCAGGAACTGGACGGGGAGCCATCGGCCGACTTCAAGAACCGGGATAGCGTGCACTGGATATTTACCGCGGGCTTACCGACGGAAGTGTCGAGGACGTGACAAGTTAGTGGCGGGCCTTGGGCGGACATGATGTTTACGATTGCGGAAAGACGGGAGGAGGTGGGTGTTGACGTTCGGTGGTGGAAGTGGAGAGAAAGAGGAAAAGGGGTGGAAAGGAAAAAAGGGGAGAGTATCTCTGGTGGGGCCAGTATTGTACGGTATAGACTATATGTATATCTCGGGAAGTCACCCGTTGTTATTTGCTGATAGTGGGATGATAACGGCGGAACTGTGCCTTTCTAGATGGTTCGCTACAGCCAAGACTTTATCTCCAAATCTGGTGACGGCACCCGGATTGGGGAAAAATAGGGATACCAGTACCGTTCCCGGTTACCGGTAGGTTATCGACGCCGGCGGTAGATCCCCCTCTAGAAATTCTCCTCATCTCGTTCCCGCCAGCCGCCTCCCTACCGCGCGGCACTCCCGCCCCCGGCTGACCGCCACTCCTTTATCAGCCCCGAATGTTGGAGAAACGGTATGAGGAAGAGTGATTGAAGAAATAATAGAATAGACTTATGAAAAGCGTGAGCCTCAAAGAGAGAATTGAGAGAGGATGAGAAGGCTTCTTGCCGGTTTTTTTGTTCTTGTTGTCTCCCACACACCAGTGCCCCAGAGCGGTGTTCTTATACTCCTGAGCAAGTCTCTACGGGTATGTAGAATGACATAGGACCTAGCGTCACATACTAATTGTGTCTCCATCACATTCAATTCATACTTCCTCCAACTCTCAACAAAACCCATATTCGAGTGATATTCCGTGACGGTTCAAGTTCTTTCTACCTCTGGTTTCTCAATATACCCTGCCTACCTGTTATTCTACAATTGCGGTATTTGACAACCGGATGCACTAGGTTGATGTATTTGCTTAAATAAGAGAGGTCAAGATATGGTGCTGCACTGGTACTCGGGTACAGTATTGTGGCAAAGGTCGAATGAAAGAGTACGAGTAAATTTTTCGGAGAAAAAAAAGCCGTGCACTTGCTCAGAATCCTTGCTCGGGAATAAGATGGAAATGCCAGTATGGGGAGGCCGGATAGATGGAGGGGCTAAGGTACAGTACTGTGCCGATCCCTCCCCCCCTTTTTTTGTCCAGCCCGAATACAGTGGAGCGAGTTTGCGGGTAAGAGTGTGAGGTTGCGAAAGCTCGTCAGGAGGTCTTTGGATGCTCTTTAGTCTGGAGTGCATGGTGGAGGTCTGCCATGGCTCTGCAAGGTCGAAGTTGTATAAAAAGAGTCGTTTCATAGGATTTTACCTTTGAATGCGATTGACAAAGTGCAATATGGTCCGTCTATCAAGAGCGCAGGCGAGATAGTCTACAGTACTACAGGTGCAATCCGAGAGATGTACTCGTGCAATAACCAACCGGCGATATATGTCCTCGGAATGGCGGGTTGTTTTTATTGCTCCTAACTTCCCTACACCCCAACACAACCAATCTTCTCAATAAGGTACTGTAAAAGTACCGGTAAGTTTTCTACTCGAGCACACCTGTGGTTCCTTCCCTCCTGTCCCTCTCCGTGCTCGCACATGGTCAAAAACTGCGGAAATCCTATAGTGGCAGAGAAGGGGGTGCATCTGTCTATCAATAAGCTTTCTGAAGAAGTGGTATACTAGTAAGGTAGACTTTGGAAATCCAGGCAGGTTGCATTAATGTTTGCTTTCCTTTAGAGACCCAAATTGGAGATTCTGAAGGTCTTCTCGGGTTGTAAGCAATCCCTATAGGGCCAGTCTATGCTAAGCCCAATCTTATAGTTCTTACTACCTTGTGCTATCTTAGTTTTGGTAGTAGGTAGAATAGTTAGATAGTATGCCTAGCATGAAGCTCCATGTAATAGCCGGTTCCTCTCCTATTTCGCGATCATTCATAGTTGGTGGAAGCAAGTGTGACATAGATGTAAGTGTGACGCTCACAAATTTTTTTTATTTTTAATTTTTTTTAACATTCAATTTTAATAGGTTTTGATAATACCACTTATCGGCCACGTAACTGTATTTACATATAAGATGCAGGTATTAATTTAATGTAAAAAAAAAATAGTATTCATTGTGGTAAAGCCATATGGTAGACATGAAGAATATATTGTGTATTTGAAAAGTAAAATTATATCTAACTATTAAAATTAGGTATGTTGAAAAATTAGGAATAAGAGATTTTTTTTGGGGCATCACACTTGCTTCCACCAACTGTGAGCGACAGCAAAAAATGAGGAGAACTGGCTATTAGTAGGTAATTATTAAAGAGATTAGAACTGCTCAGTAAGCAGAGACAGACTAATATAAAACAACCAAAAGACCATATTTTAAGGTTGAGAGTACCAATACCTTAAAGACAATAATGGATAGTATCATATTAAAAAAAAAACCTAATGACATAGGTAGTACATTTTGGTAAATTTGGTCAATTCCAGAAGTGTAACAAATTTACCCTGAATTCTACACCTATTTTCCAGTCTGTAGAGTACTTATATGTAATTTCAAAAAATAATTTTCAAATAGATTCATATATTTGTAGGCTGGAAAAGTCAGATATTTAAATGCAAAATAATTTAAGTCTGGGTTTAATTCTTAAATACACTAATATCATGTTTATATTAGTAGAACTATTTGAGAAAATTTAATAAAGAAAAGAAATAACTTGCAATAAGATATCATAAAAATGTCTTCATGAAATTTCTAATATGTTCTAACCTTAACCAAAACATGTTTTATAAACCATGGCGAGTCAAATATCCTAGTTGATTGAAAATATATTTTATACTAAAAGTACATTTTTAAATTGATAAATGGCTCAATTGATATTATGCCAGACTGGTACTTTGTCTATAAATGCTACTAATTTTATTATCTATTTATTATAATAGTCAATTTTGAAGTCCTACTGACAACTCTCTGTCAGGCCCAGCAGATAGATATTTCTAAGGCCCTAGAGAGATGATTTTTGACCAAATGGGAAAGGTACCTGAGCCAACTGCTGTACAATATAACTCTTTTTACTTGTTCAAATAATTGTACTCAAGTATCCACACCCATCTAGGTATGTAGATGAGGTTCTTTAGGTAGCTTACTAAATAGCAGAGTACCAATACCAGTACTTGGTGACTAGTCTAGGAGGGTCAAGAGTCTGTATATCTCATCGGTATATGGGATAACCCAGGTGGTTACGCTAATTGGCCATTTTCCGTTAGTGGGATGCCATCTCGAACCTCTCGATCTAGAAGAAGCTAAGGTGCTGTTTGGTGTGCCAATTATTTGAATCGTTCATCATCTCAAGTTATGTTCTTCTCCAAACATTTAGCAACAATTCTAAGTCATAGTTTGCAAATGTCCCTTTGCCAAGCATTCAACAGAGTTCCCTATAATATTTTGTCTTTAACATGCTGCTATTACCTTTTAACGCAGGGCCCTTTGAGAAAAATTTCTGAAAACGCAATTTTAAAATGCAAACATATCCAACAATATTGGTACGGTCATCTTACTGGCAAAAGGCATTTTTAGATGAGGAACAGCTCAAATGGCCGCACGCTAAACGGCCCTTAGAGTCATGTCTGGAGGTACCAGTCCAGTATGTCCCTTTGGTAGGTATGACGGGAACCTAGGGTGACAGACATTTGAGTACGAAAAGATGCTGATTAGATCATGACGTCTAAAATTATATTAGGACTCGAATATACCGTATACAACCTGCATATCTTAGGCTCTTGTCATGCCCATGCGATGTACCTCCCGGCGCGACTTTGCATCGCTCAGCACATTCCAATGTATCGTAGCTTTACCTTCTGGAGTTGTGAAAGTCAATACAGTATTCGTGACTGAGATAAGGCGCTAAAGTCGTGTCTGGAGGTGGGCGAGAGAGGGATTGGTATGAGTAACACCTCTCTATCCAGCTTCAAATAGACCTTTTTGATGACTTCTCTTTCTGCTTTCACTTGGCTATTCTCCATCGATATTTTCTTGTTTCTTTTCTCCTACTTTGTCTTCCACTTCCTTTAAGTTTGAGTTAGACTTGCCTATATTGTCGGTTTCCCGTTCTTCATTCTTATTTATTGTTAATCCGAGTCCTCTTTTCTTTTTGTAGATAGGTACTTACAGTATGGCCTATCACTTGCCTGTAGGTAGGAATAGCAGGAAATATCGAAGAAGCTTGTCCACATATTTTCAAGTACCTAGCTGGTTTACTTTCTGTTGTCAATTGCGACTTATTTTACAAACCGCTCAGGAATATGGGGAAACACAGTTGGTTTGTTGTATTTGTGGCACCACCACCAGTAAAGGTCAACAATTCAAGGTAGTGAGTACTGGTAAAGGATAGGAAGGTTGGTTTTTACTGTGTAAGGACCCGGAACTGGAAATGGGATGAAAATTTTTGCTGCCCTAGGTATGTAATTACTTATAACAGAATCTTCTTACTACTGCTATTGTAACTAGCTTGAAGTTAGTTGTTTGCTAAGTTTACCATCCAGTATCACTCTCCTGTGATGGGTGTCTAAAATGTCAGTATGTATGATACAATGCCAGCTGTCCACATTCTAGACACCCAGTTCCACAGTACTTTTTACTATCTTGTTATCATTTCCTTTTGGGTTATGTTTTTCTTTCTTGATTATTAGTACCTAACATTAGGTTCTACCTAATAAAGTATCATACTTATATCACAGTGCACCGCTCTCCTCTACAATCTCTTAAGGAGTCAGTCTCTCAAGCTTCACGGGAAAACTTTTTTTTTAATGTACTATAAGTTGAACAGTTACTCTACTAGTTCCTCATCTTTATATTAGAATCTAAAGAAGAATACCTACAAATCCTTCACCTCCTGTACTACGGAATCTGAGAAGCTCTTTGAGATTCTTGCAATCCATAGAAGTAAGTTACAACTTTCAGGTTAGAGTAGGCCAAAATAGTAAAAGGCCTTCTTTTAGTAATAAATCCTGGAATATAACAATCAACTGTATTCATTCATTTATTTATTGTTCTTCACAGCTTTATAATGTGCCAAATGTCAGGAAGGTATCTCTTCACCTTTTCTGTGCTATATTTCTCCGTCGCGGGGAAATTTTCGTATCCGAAAGGGTTTACCGCCAAGCGCACAATCTCCAAATGGTTAACCCAATCGTAGCGCGGCGGGGGGATTTCAAACTACTTTGCCGAGGTCGCTTCCTCCTCACTGCCAAAAGTCTCCAAAGCTGCAACTGACCATAATTTAGACTGCCGGTAAGTTAGTTAAGTACCCCACCGGCTCTCACACACACTCTCTCTGGGTATTGTTGTCGGGGGATCGGGTCCTCACGGTAGTGTGCCGTCGCGGGGTAATGGCTCCCGCGAGGATTGATTTATCGACACCGAAGAGGATATAATTGTGCAATGATCTATTGTTGAATTGAATACGCTTGATTATATGACGCCCGGTATCATAGATTCATAGTAAAAGATTGCCGCGCCCCTACCTGGCCTTACACATCAGGGACCCCACCCCTTCGTACGCCAGTTGGATCGGATCTGGTGAAACGCTACACGACGGCTAGCTCCTTGAGAACCCTACATATATGAAAATGAAATTAAAATAAAAATAGGGAGGTAAAAGTAAAAGTAAGATGAAGAGATCTCCCCCCTCGGGCGTAATCCCAGATCACGCTTCACAAGTTAACTTCGCCACTTAACTTAGAAAAGATCAAAGTCCCATAAAGGCCCACAGGCAGAAATGCTGACGGGGAGGAAGTATCTCAGGTGCGCAGTGGCATTGAGGGTGATGAAGCCTCTCCCCGTGTTTCCCCCGGTGTTCAGGATACCTTGGTAGATTTTCACGTGGCTGGCCTTGATGTTGCTGTCGCCGTAGGAAATCCAGTACTCCGGGGAGATGTGGTAGTATCCCAGAGCCACCGGGGGCAATCTCGGTACAGGGTCATCTGGTTTTCCGCGCGGCCATCATGTCAGGAACCACCATCGCGGGCTATGCCAGAATGGGGGGGGGGAGTAATACTCAAATGCGTAACCCTGTAGTTTCCCGAACTCTGGGTGACGAACTCGGAGAATTTATTATTGCCAATCCTGGGAGCGCCATACGTGTACAGCTCAGTGGTATACCCCAATCTTCTGAACTCCGTAGCGGTAATGGTTGCCAGCGCACCACCAAGAGAATGTCCTGTGACAACGAGCTTATAAGAAGGGTACTGCGCGCGCAGCGAGTTTACTGATGTAAGGATCGGTGGGAACGCATTTATGAACGCGTTGTAGAAACCGGAGTGGAGCTTGCAGTTTGGGCAGAAGACTGAAGCATCTTTCCACAGAAGCTGGATGTTCGTGAACCAGTTTCTCAAGGACATGCTGCCGCGGAAGACAACGGTTATAGTCCTTCTAGTGTCGTCACGGGCGACTATGCCCGTCGTATCAGCAGAGGTAGTGCTTTTCCTTTCGTTAGAATATATCTATCCTGAGACAAGGTGCAGTTGGGGGGGTACTCTGCGAATTCAATGATCGTGGTGATGCTATTCGCGGTAACCTGGGGACAGATGTTGTCCTTACAGGTTACTTCTGTCCCGGGAACGTGGTTCGGGTCGCAGTATGCTGCAGCCGCGAATTCAGCGTAATAATACAATATGGCCAGTGTTGATTCGCTGACAGCTGTCAAGCGGAGTGTTAACTATTTTCTCGGAAGGGGGGGGGGGGCAGTAGGTGTATGCATTACGGGAAACGTACTAGGAGTACTAGCCATGAGTGAAAAGGTGTCGGAACCACTCTGAAGGAGGTCTGCATCCAAGGCCAAGAGTTCCTCGACAGTGCGATCCTGGGCGGTGTCTTGAGGCCTTCCCGTTGGGGAACCAACTACCACAGCAGCAGACGCCCCCAGAAAACCGAGGATTGTTCTTAAGAGCATGGTGAAGTAAAGGGAAAAGGTGTGTAGAAATGGTGAGAAATGTTCTAGCCAGACCAGTGGTGCCTTGGTGGGATCGGTGGAGAGGCGGAGAGACGAAAGCAGTTGGTATTATATACTTCTAGCTTTCCTTATACTGGCTTCCTGACTTCTCTGCACGATTGTTGATAGCAATCGATCGACTAGGAGTGTCGGAAGTAGATAGTTTAATCAATCCACGATACAGCCCTCCATTTTATATCCTCCCTTCGAGAACTCTCGTCCACTACCACCTGGATTCAGCTTGACAATTGCGGGGTGGTTTGCGTTACATGAACGCTCCACGAACTAATTTGTGGGCTAACAATTAACCAACTTGATACCACCTCCTATTCAGAGCCATGTTACCCAAGTCCCGCAAGTGCCTTGTGACTCACAGTTCTATATCGCATTTTTCACGGAAGCATCATTATTCGCCCGGCAGCATGGCAGCAGGAAATACGGGGGCGCTGGAAGGGTAAAAAAAAAAGGAAGCCTCTGCTCGTTCCGAATTAGGAGGGAATCTTTTGGGCATGGGTAACAGCTTCCACACGCTGGGCCCCAATTTAATGCTTGGTACTTGGCTACAGGGGTCGCAGGAAGCGCAGCAGGAAGTGCAGGTGCTACTCAATGCAAGTATAGAAGGAGTTGTATACATGTCCCGGAGGGGCAATTTTCCCGTGACGGCGGATTTTTCCGGCGCTCGATTACAGAAGCCATTGTGCTGATTCGGTGCGGAGCCCTGACTGTCTTGGGAAGGAGATTGTTCGGATGCTTCCGAGGCTCTTTGGCGGCCGCTGGGTCCGTACTTTCGCGGGGCGGGTAGATAAATTGATGGGGGAGGGGTTGGGGGCCAGACGGCACAGTTTTGGGTTTCCAATCGATAGCCTTTATCCTTCCCCTTGTAGTAAGACTCTACGGGATAATATGATATTGATGGACTGTGGTATGATAGTACGGTGGTAAATAAGTTAAACCCTTGATAAACAACATCACCCCCCTTGACAGGGGGTAATCAAGTTAAGCGAAAGCTAATAACTCCTATTAGAAGTCTAATTGGCTGAGTGGGTATCCATGGAACGTCAACCTACTCGTACAACACTGGACCAACACTCGACTTCATTCTGGCAAGCCACCCGCCGGGCACCTCGACCCCAATGGGTGTCTCTAGTTAGCTATTGGGCCATTCGATAGCGCTCTTATCTCAAGCGCAAGCAGGACGACCAATTACGACCATCACAACCGGCTGCACCGTCTCGTGCTCATTTGCAAGCAAGCCCCGGTAGTGTTGTGGGTTTGACGGGATGCCATGCAGGTACCGGTACGGTACTTGTACTGCACGATATACCGCGAGGAAGCGCATCCAATGACGATCACCAAATTAGGCAGCCGAGGTGCCGACAGACAAGGATTCCATTCCATGTGTGAACCCCGAAGAAGAAAAAAGAAATACATTTCAATCCCCGCAATCAAGCTGCAGTACTCGAGTACCGGTAGATTCCAACGGCCGGGGGTAGAGTGGCTTATAATAGCTTCTACGATAGGGTAGGAATACTCGAGCATTGCAAAGTTCCCCCAAAGGAATAACCCCTGAGGCAGGGCAATCCCTTTTATCCCATCTCCAAGCACAAGCATACCTGGTATCCATCGTGCAACCACGCAACAAAACCGCGGGGGGGGGGCAGTGAATTAGCGCAGATGAGAAGAAAACGATAAAGGGTCCTCCGGGACAAGCGATGGGTGTGAAAAACAAAAGCAAAAGGTTGGAAGAAGAAAAGCAAGAAAAAAAGAAAATATATAAATTTGGGCTTACCATCAAACTTCACACGAGAAAAAGGCTATTCGTCGCTGAACCAGTGGGTGAAAAGGGCAGTCGGGCAGCCAATCGTTTGCATGAGCGCCTAGGGGGTGGAGGGGGAACCCCAATATCCCTCAATGGAAAACTAGCTTCCCTTGTGCAACTTATGCCCACTTCTAGGCCTGCCCGGATTGTGGGGGAATGGTTCCTAACCGCTTTCTGAATTTCCCTTTCTTGTTCTTGTCTGTCATTTTCTCTTTATCCTTCCACACCTGTTTGTTGCAATGCAGCAAATGCTTTCACGATAGGAGCTCTCGTGGGCCTTGGTTGGGCCAGGAGGAGAGAAGACATGCGAGCTTTCCACTTCTGGAAACGAATTTGGAATCGTCGGCAATACCGGTAGGCGAGAGAGATCATCGTAAGGTAGTGGCTGAAAGAAATGAAGGGGAAATTTTATGACGCAGTACGGTCGCAAATAGGGAAAAGAGAGAAATCGGTAGGCCCGGGACACCACGCACCCCGAACTTAGTACGATGCAGTACCGGTGCACCCTTTAACTCGCACTTGGTGAACGCTGTCCTCGCTCCATGCTCCTCGCCGCCTACCGGTACTCTCCTCTATGCTACCAGTATACCAGTTGGCCCTCTTATTGTAAAGGGAGGAATTGATCCACATGCCGAAACGCGAGGCAGACAAAAGGGGAGAATCGGAGCTCTCCCACCTCTCCCACACTACCGGGACTTGGATGGACCACAGTACTGCTGTAGTACCCGTGCGGTACATACTCATGCGGCCGGACTGAAACCGGGCACCCTGTATGGGGAAAGCCATCTCCAGTCTCTGCCTTCAATTCGGCTGCATGAGTACAGTAGTCGCATTTACAAGAATCAACCTTTTAAACCCCACGTTCGGTGCTTGTGGCCCTGGTGAACTGATATTTCACTCTTGCACCCTACAGTTAGCACTACCGGGTGGTGGTTATCGGGAAGGGCTACCGAGCTACGATTGGGTGGTCTTTTGTACGTTTTGATTGATGCGCTTTTCCATACTTGACCAATTACCCAGTTCGCACTTACCCGAGCACGAACAGCCGGCTGATACACTCGGGATCACTACTAATTTGCAGGCTTCTGCTTTCTCTTCCTTTTAGGGTGACCCAGAGACGGGGGAATCGGGGGCGCGGTCTTATCGGGTTCTCGCGTCTTCACAACTTTTTTTTTTTTTCGCATATTTACTCATTTGTGAACTAGCTATCTAGCAGTCTAGCTGGCTTGTAGATGGGTTACGATAAGCAGAAAGCTGCGAGGACGGGGGTGAAGGAGCGTGTGGGGTCGCTATCGCACCGGAAAAAAGGAGAGAAAACCGAGCTGAAGGATACACAGCAGCGGAGGCAAATCAGATCTGCTGATCGAGCGGCAGCATTTGTGGGGTCGACAGATTGGAACTTAGCATGGCTCTTCCTAATGCTTCCGAGTTCCTCGCTCAGTATGTTTCCCGTAACGGAAACAATTCCTCCTACTACCCGATAGTTCGGAGGAAACCCTCCAGATACGCTCCGGCGTGCTGATTCTAACTATCCCTTGGGCATCAGGTACTGGTCGGTTGACCCCTTGCAGCAGTATTGGGGAACGGGAATCTAGAGAGAGAAAAAGCCAGTACCCCAACTCCATCATTGCTCATCGCCATACACCATCACCCGCCTACTCACTCGCTCATCCCCACACAAGCAAAGGCTCACCACAGCCCGCAGAACACAACGCACAGAATACGCGGCCACTATGCAAAATACCGGTGGGGTATGATATCGCTCTGCCGGGGGTTACAGTGCTGCTATAGGGAGAGATGGGGGGGTAGCCCATTGGGCAATTGGTGGTTCGTGTAGGGAAGGCGTCCGTTCAGGAAGCAAGGGGAATCCTGTTTCACCAAGACTTTGTCTAGTGACTGTACCGCATCACGGAAACTAATACGGAGACCGAGATTTGTGATAGACTCCATCTCTCGCATGTTTCTCGGCATCCCTCTCACCTACCCTAGATTCACCACCCCCGGACGTCATACCGTTCACTCCCCTCCCCCTTACACCCCCACCTTTTTCTCTCCTCCCTACTCGCACAATCCTTATAATCGATGCTCCCAGCCCACGGGCACTTCGCACACTCTCCTCACACCGCACGAAGAACGGATTCATATTTGACCGCAAGGATAGGAGCGAGAGTTTAGGTAAAACCTAACATAAAAGCAGTAGCTTCTGCCGTATAGTCGCGGTGGAGTAGGAAAGCCGGTCTTGGATGCACCCGGTAGCGGGCAGCCTAGCTGACTACACCGGGTCCTGGAGCACCCGAAGATATATACATCCCTCTACTTTTTCCTGGGACTAGAGCAAGGATTCACCCGTGTTATTCACTCCCCCTTCCCGTGCCCCTCTTGTGAATTGCAGTACCACCTAACCCGGCTATTCTACATGGCTATATATATATATATGGAAGGGTGCCAAAACCCCTCAGGCTAGAACGCCCAAAGAGAAGCGTTGGATAGCAAATGTCCTCCAGAAAAAAAATTGTGCAAAAAAGATGTGACAAGAGTGGGACTTGAACCCACGCTCAGTTTCCCGAACCAGGATGCGTGTTAAGATAACCTTAACCTGGCGCCATAACCAACTCGGCCATCTTGCCATTACGTTGCTTGTGCTTTAAATATACATGATATGCTTAATCGAGCATAGTGACCATCTGTTTGCTGCCCTTTGTATCCGAACCAAACATCGTGGTGGATTTGTGACAGATCCCTAGGTTAGACTTTCTACTCCACAATATGTCACACTGTTTCTCACCAGACTATAAGGTAACAGGACCACGTGAGGAAACGAAGGCAAATTTTGAGGTTGCCGAGATGACTATTTCTTCAACCCACCTTTTTAGTCTCGGAGATGAAGGAACGAGACACCGATACCACAGGAACTTAATTCCACCCATACAAAGAGTAACACGTGATCATGCAGGGCTCCCGCGGAGGCTATGAGGTGGGCGCTGGGCCTGTTAACTGAACAGGGGAATGTCACCTCCTGTCGGGGGCGGGGGTAACGTTAAGGAAAATGGTCGAACACAGCCCTGATGGCCTGCTGTAGGAGATGGGGCGCATGGGAGTCGTGAAGCCGCTATCGCAGCGTTACTGAGTCAAATCCTGAAAC